TTTTGCCCCTTCTCACAAGATTCATCCAAGCTTTAACAAACCTCTTTTGTAAATCCAATATTCTTGGTTTATTATTTGTAATTCCCTTTTGATTTTCAAAGCATCAACCAATTTCTTTGTATGTCCAGTGAGACATCTTTTTCCATGTCATTCTTGTAGCCTGTCATTTGTGGGTCCGTGTTCAGTGTCAACTCTGTCTCTGTCTTGTCAAATAAAACTTTTCTGCCATTTCTTCCAAAACATCTTTCGGACACAGTCTATCCATAGAAGTAAACATCACTATTGACATTGTTGATATTGACTTCAGATTCCATTTTTCAAAAGTCTTGTTCAGTATTTCCAATATTATATTTTGCATCATTCTGTAGCTGTTACTCAGGTTTATGCATTCTTCTCCTTTATTTAAAATCTTTCGTTCCCTGTAGTGTCCAATTTTTAAAGTTATTTGTCTCTTTTGTGTCTTGGAAAAAATTCAAAACAAGTCCATTTTTCCCATGGGAAGAATTCTGTATAATTAATTCCAAAATCTTATTTTAAATTTATCTGGTCCCAATCCATTTATAACTTTCTAAAATCAAAGTCTTAATTAGCTTTTTGCTGTTTATTACTAACTTTTTAAGTTCTTAAACTTGTAGTTAAAAATTTATTTCATTAAGGATTGAAGGCAGACTCACCCAGTGTTTTCAGACTTGTCAATCCAAGGGTCTCTAATAGCTGAAAGGTAGTTAACAAGCAATTTCCAAATATGATTAGAAATGGAAGTATACAGACTTCGTGTCCTTTTAAAGGCGCCGACTGCAGTTTCAGCAAGATGGCTATTCCTCGCAAAGCAGCAATTGTCTGGACCACTTGTGGGCAATCTCCTGCCCTCTCTTTGTTTGCAGAGGTCTGAAGAGCCAGTCTACTCACCAGCTTTTCATTCTTCACCGTGGTCTTCAGCTACGCTTTACACGGAGCCATCTTCAGTCCGCCATTTCTTCCTTCAGAAATCCACACGTTATGTAGTGTGATCAAAGGTTCCTATTCAGTGAGAAATGGTTAGCATAAACTAATGCTAGGTGTAGTGGTATAAAATCAAATTGATAATTGTTGTGAAGGTTTCCTGGTACATATACTGTACATTGGAAATAAAATGTGGACTGTAAAGCCCAGGAAAAAAGCCCTGAGGTGGCTTGAAAGATTAAGAAGATAAGGTGAAGTATAAGCATTATGAGGAACTAACTACTTAAAGAGGTAGCATGATGGGGGGACGGCATGGGAATTTCATTTGAAAAGTAGCCCTCCATTCCCTGTAGGGATTACATTGAAGGAACGCTGTTTGAGAATTTTAGAACAATGAAATTAGGAAATTACCTGCCAAAGTAAATATTAATAAAATATAGTAGAATGCCAACTTTTTTTTTTTTTTTTTTGTAATCTGAGCCCTTGGAATTGCTAACATAATCTCTACCATTAAGTAAAAGCAGTAATACTGAAAAAAAGCCTTCTGGAGAACCTCAGTATAAAAATCCAAAAAGCCTTTTCTCCTCAATAAATCTAGAACTGTGCATCTGTTCTTGGATCTCATTGATGTTGTATGTTCCTCATATGTCTGAAATAATCAGAGGAAAGGGTCAATTTAATTTTCAGAGATAAAACAAAACTCTCTTTTGTTTATTTTGATAAATATCTTCCTAACAGTACAACTTTTACACCTACTGACAAGTTGAAGGTGATCCAGCAGACCTTTGAGGAGATCTCACAGAATGTGCTTGAGTCTCTACATGAAGATTTCCTTTGGTCCATGGATGATTTGTTTCCTGTTTTTCTATATGTGGTGCTACGAGCCAGGTAGGTAAAATTACGCACGAAATCCTGTAATTACAGCTATAATTATTCCATTGCTGGTCTAACTGATACAAGCCATGGGGCCCAATTGTATTTTATTTGTTACCTGGGATTGGGATCTGGTGCTGTTGGAATCCTAGCACAACACATCTTAACTGGCCCTATACAGAATGGGCTAGCTTGAAAATATGACTCCTGTTTAAATATGATAGCTGTGTTTTCTAAAAAGTCATAGGGCTCTCTGGCACTGAAACTATACAGTGAAACTTAAAGCTGTGTATTTTATCTTAAAAAAAAATGTTATTTTTTTCCCACATACAGAATAAAGCACAGTTGTTACTGAACACCTGTATTATCCAATTATCCAGTAGATAATTGGCTTCACTGAAAGGCTATAAAACAAAAAGCAGTTGGAAAATTTATTAGGAAGAAATGCAATCACAATAAATAATTATGATTATAATATTGATGTTTAGGTATTCATAGTTTGGGAGTAAATCCTGAAAAATTGCTATCTAGAGAGGCAAAAAGGAAGACTGTCTTTCTAGTCATTTCCACAAGAGATGTACAATAATATATTTGCATAGAAAGAAAGGAATGAAAGGAATGTGCAATGGTGTACAAATATTTTGAATTTGAAATGTTTTGGGTCAAAATGCCCCATTTCACATTCCAAGCATCCCATTTTGAGCTCAGAACTGTTCCAAACTTACTGGAAGTTCAAAACAGAATGTTCTGGAATGGGCAAAACAGTGTTGGAAAATTCCCCATAAGATCAATACAACACATTTCAAACTCAAAATACCCGTTTTCAGCTCAAAACATTTTGCCACACTCTTACTAACGCATTTGCTGATTGATAAATGCTTGTTGATATAACTATTTTTCCTTTTTGTGGCAGGATAAGGAATTTGGGATCTGAAGTGCACTTGATTGAGGACCTCATGGATCCCTATCTCCAACATGGGGAGCAAGGCATTATGTTCACAACTCTGAAGGCATGTCTTAATTGTGTTAATTACTTAAAGTGATGTTGTAATGTCCTGTTTAGTGTTGTGTATAGTGTTTGCATCAGTGCTGCTTGAATTTCTCACTAGCTTTGATATTACATAAGATACATAGACTTGGTTCACTTATTACTAAATTCACCTAACTTGACCTGGACCTAATATAGAGAGAATAATGTTTTTACTTGTCCAACTGTTCTCTGCCTATCTTGGCTTGTTACTACTAACAAGGAAAGAATAGCTGGTTCATTTATTTATTTTTTTAAAGAGCGACCTCTTTGAAGCAGCAGTAATTAGGCTGTTCCTAACTAAATGTAGCCTGGACAATTACAGTGATAAACATTTACAAACTGGCTAATAACATTCACTTCCTGATAAAGGTGCATCAGAAAGTATTTTGTATGCTTCTGGATAAAGTTTACTTTCTAAGTCCACTTCAATCTGGCTTTAGGTCTGTTTATTGGAAAGAAATGGCCTTGGCAATAAGCTTTGCCTAAGAAGATAGCAGGAAGTACACCCAGATAATTTGCTTAGACCATTTGACACTCTTACAGTAGACTGGTTAAATTGTAGATTATGCCTTACGCAGGATCCTTATCGGGGGATTCCTTGGGAGCCAGTTTTATCCTCTCTGTTAACAACTACATGAAACCACATCAAAGGTGAGGGCTGAGCTGCTAGTATGCATCTTCACCTCTCCTTTTCATTTAGCTCATGTGAAGCAGGTACATGTCCTGAATAAGTACTTGAGCAGTGTAATGGATTGGATGAAAGCCAACAAAGAATTCAGTGCAAATCAGGCATCTGTTATTCATGGACGGGTCATCTATCCAGGTTAATGATGTTCAATCTCTTTTGGAGAGGGTTAGATTGTTAAAGATCAGACACACAATTGGATGGTGCTCCTGGATTCAGTATTGTTAGTGGAGTCACAGGTGGCCTCAGTAGTTAGTGGTAACTTTTTATCAGTTTGGTTGCTATTTCCCCTGAAATCCATTGGACAGGAATAATTTTGCAGATAGTTAGATAGATACATACATACATACATACATACATACATACATACACGTACGTACGTACGTATGTACGTACGTACATGCACATGCACATATGCTGTTCTGGTGACGGTTGAATGGTTAATAATGATAATTGTTTTACTGTTTATTAATTTAACTGTTTTTTAGCTTTGTTGTACACTGCCCAGAGTCATTTGTTTCTGAGATGGGTGTGTGTGTGTGTGTGTGTGTATAAAAATTTGACAAATAAATAAATCACTGCAGTGTACTGGATGTGAGGTTATCTTTGAAGACTGTTTAGAAATGCCAGTTAATGTAAAATAGAATTGTTAGGTTATTAATTGGAAGTGGCTGGACAAATATATAATGCTAGTGCTTCGTCAGCTACACTGAGTCTCACCTGATACTATTTTTTAAGCTCTGGACAGCGTAAGGCTTCAATATCTGAATTTTAGGGAGCCAGTCTTTTTGATTTAAAAGAACAAATGTATTCTGCTAGAGGCACTTTTTGAGTATTTCGTGTGATCTTTGGGAGTCTTTAGAGAGTAAATGAAAGTACTTTAGAGAGTGAAGTAGTGTAACTTTAATTGTTGGACCCCTTCAAGTCCTTCCTGTACGGCATGTGTGACTGCCACTATGTACTCCTTTTAGCACCAGGTTAAGTTATTCCTTTCCCCCTAAATAGTTTAGGGTTTGGCTTTGATTACTTGTATTTCACTGGGATAGAGGTCTGAACATGTTTGGGGGAATCTGTTTTTATTTTCTTTGCTATTAGTCTTATTTAGCATTTTATTTTGTTTGTTTTGCAATCCTCACATCGTTCTCTTACTATTCAGCAATTTAAATATATGTTTAATGAATCGGATGTATTTGATTATTATTTTTCAAAAATTTATTTTTAGGCATGCTATTACCAGATTCAGCATGAAAAGCTTACCTAATTCATTTGCCTCATATGGAAGAGTCACCTGAATAGAAGTTTTATTCATCCTGCCTGAAATACTTAAAATGAAAACAAAGTCGTCATCCTGTGGATGTAATTTCTAAACTTTTAAGGTCAGAAAAAAAGCAAGACTTCAGATCAAAGAAAAAGAGAGAAGATTGAGAAAGCAATTATTTTGTGAGGAACCTGTTAGAATCTCATGGATCTCAAAAAAGAAAAAGATCATCCAGGAATGTGCTGCTTTTGACATAGGTTGAAAACACTGCGGATTTGAAGGACTGAAATGCACTATGGAACCACTCTATTGTTTTTAAATTAAGCTGCCTAGGTTTGTGTGTCACTGAGGAAAAAAACTGACATAAGTAGCCTTCTTAGTAAAAAATAGTTTGTGAAAAAATCCTTTCTGTAAGTATTGTTACAGATAAGAGTACAAGTGCTTGTGTGAAATCAAGATCTGTTGGATTTACTAATTCCACAGTGTTAAGTATGTCAGAGCTGATATTTCTTTACTTTTGGGGGGGTGAGGGGAGCTTTGTATTTAACATCAAGGAGCGTTAGTCATTGTAAATGTCAGCACTGAATTTGATATTTATTATGTTTACAGAACTCTTATTTCTTGTAAGCCTTGATGAACAGCGTTTATAAGCTACAGCTGGATGGTTTACTTGACATTGGTGAACCTCATGTTATGGAAGGATGCAACTACGATCTTACTAAACATGTGCTCTCAGGATTGAAGTACTATCTTAGCATTATGAGATTTTGAACTGCTATATCTGCTATGCCTATTTGACAAAAGGAAATCTTTCTTGTTACCAGCAATTCTATGTCATTGTTGTTGTGACTTCTCCTTTACTTATATGGATAGCTCTCATCCTGGATAAAATAGGTGCTGTTCTTTACTGTATCAGAAATAAATAGAATATAAGGAAAATACTCTCCTGGTTAAATTCAGTTAATAATAGTCAACACAAATAACTTCTGGACATCAGAATCATGCCTGTGTGTTAACTTCTTTTATTAAAAATACATTTTGGTGGGAGCTATAACTGTAAATGAAGCAATTTTCATAATAAAAAATATTACTAATTCTGTGATTATTTTGTTATAACAAAATATAAATCCCATTTTGAAAATGTTTTATAATTATTTCAAGGTGAGCTTTCTGAAGAAAAAAAAAAAAGCAGTCATTCTACTGTAATTAATATTTTTATGTTTCTTCCTTCCTGAGAAGGAAGATGGTAGTTTGAAAAACATACAACTTTGGAACCTTTGTCAGGAAATGGGGAACGACCTCCCCATTGATCAATACGTGGTTAGTAAGCGGATCAAGAAATCCCCGCCCTAACAAATATAGAGATAAAGTGGGAGTTAAAGTTAATGTGTTCAGTTGCTAAGCTTTCTATAACCTAACCCCCCTTATCCCTTGTAATGAGTTTGGTTAATATTGCAAGAATCTAGCTTTTTTTAGTTGTGAGTGGCAGCTAGGGGCTTGACAATAGAACACTTAAGCCTCTGGACCTGGCTGTATCTTCCGTGGCCCTAGAAGGCCACGTGGGCCTGATGGGCTGTTTGTGTATTGGGAGCTGTTTGTGTTTGTGGGGCCCCAACGGATTACCTGTGTTGCTCCTGCTTGTTCTGGTTTGATTAGATACGTGACTAGCTAAAAGTTGAACTATAGTACTTTGCCTCATTATAATAATAAACAGCGCACCCCTAGGAGTAAACATGAGATGCTAATGAGCCCCCCCTCATGACTTCTTATGGGGTACATAGTTGTAGTATGCACATGCATGATGTAATTCACCCATGGATTTGTTTTAGCCAATAAGAACTGTGATGAATGTTACCTGCTTAGTGAAATGTATAAAAACCTCCGGACAACGCCCCTTTGCATGCTCAATTTGGACTTTGGTCCCAAGTGTGCCTCTTTGCTTCTGTACAGAAATAAAGTGTGAAAGCCTCTCTACTCTGGGCATAATTTGGCCCTCTCTCGCACCCGGTAAAAATGTGTCCCTGTGAGGTGAGTTGGGCTGAGAGAGAGAGATTGGCCCAAAGTCACCCAGCTGGCTTTCGTGCCTCAGGTGGGACTAGAACTCACCGTCTCCTGGTTTCTAGCCTGGTGCTTTCACCACTAGACCAAAATGCCTTTGAAGATGACTTGAAAATTACAGTTAGTGCAGAATGCAGTGACCAGTTTATTATCTTGTATAGGTCACTATGAGACATTACAGCAATACCACAAGCCCTGCACTGGCTTCTAGGTGCAATTCAAAATGCTGACCCTAACCTATAAATATATCTTCAAGATCTCTTTTTCCAACCAGACATGACTTGCCTGATCAGTGTATCCCAGAGAAAATTGCTGTTGGTCCCCACTTCTGCAGGGTGAATGGACTGAGAAGAGTAGGTAAGGTTTCTCATAGAAACACCTCCTCTTGTAGAACAGATCTCCCTCCAGAAATCAGAAGTAGGTGCTTTGGATCTATTTGCAACTATATTCTGGGGAACATTCAAGCCAGAGGATCTTAAGGACAGCAACTCAAGAACAACTAATTTCAGTGGAATGAAGCTTTGGTTATATATTAAACATTTACCGAGGTCTGGTGAATGGTAAATACTGATAGTATATTACTGCATTCAGGAACTGGAATACATATGTTTGTTGTGCTGAGACACAAATCTGCCTGCAGCCTCATTCAGATCGAGACCTCTTTCTGCAGCTAGTATTTGCACTGGGGCCTTCCCCATACCAGCCAGGAAACAAAAAAGTTGGCCAGGCTCTTGCATGGATGGAGATGTCTTTATTCCCTTGGTTATACTGATATTTACTGCTTGTTCTGAGGAGAAGAGAGGATGAATGAGCTGATGACAGAGATGATCCAGAACTACCTCCAAGCTATGCACCCTCTTACTTCATTGAAAGGATCATCCTAGTCCAGAATAAGCTATCTTCCCACTCCTCAAACCCAGAAAGTGTCCAGTGACAGCACCTCTGTTTTGTCAGTTTCAGTTTCTTGATTGTTGTTCTAAGTACTGCTTCTAGATGTATTGTTGAAGGCTTTCACGGCCGGCATACGATGGCCGGTGTGGGTCTTCCGGGCTGTGTGGCCATGGGTCAAACCCCTTTAATATCAAATGCAGATGCGATGGAAAGGGAGAGCTGGGTATCTTTTGCATCCTGACTATACATTTGCTCCAATTTCTGAAAATCCCTCTGCTACAGAGCGCCTAAGAGAAACCTACAGCATTCCACAGCTAAATATCAGGTGGACAAAGCAAATGTCGCTTAGTGCCGCTCTCTAGAAATGACCTTGTCCAAGAAGCAAAAGCACCACCCTGCTAGGTTCCCAACTCCCACCTGACAAAGTTGCTCCAGGAGGACATTTGGGCTTTGATAGCAGAAGCCCTGGGAAATCCACAGGAATGCACTCTTCTAGTACAGGGGAACCAGGACAGTTTTGGTGATGAAACCAGGTATGAGGCTAGAATGAAATGATTCCAGAAAGCTGTTTCACCTATGTCTGAAATTTATTGGGTACTGTCTACTCTACCACTTTGACTAAACAGGGAATGTTAGGGGTTGGGTAGCAATGTATGGGCCAGGGAAGGTCTCAAGGAAGGGATGTTGCACTAGCAACTTGGGGGTTGTGGTTCTAATGATTACAGCTACTTTAGGTTAACCACACTGAGCCTTGTCTGGATTGAACAGCATATACACTGTAGTAAATAAATACACAGTTGACTGCATTGGTCTCATCGTTATGTACAGTATACAATATCGTTGAAATGAATTCAGGCACCAGCCAATTTTGCTGATATCATCTTACAGGAAGGAATCATCTTAAAGTGCAGGTAGAAATTCTCCAGACTACAGGCTTCATGCTTCTAGGGACAGATGGGAATGTGTTTAACATCAGAAGTTCCACCTTTCCCACTCCAGCTTGTCCTTCAGACTATACCTAATGGATACATCTAAAAATTATGTCTTTCCCCCTTGGTAGGAAAAGATTCCTTCACTTGCAAGTTGCCTTCTCCTCCTCCTTCCTTGTTCTTTAGGGAACCAAGGTTAGGAGCTGAGTGGTAGTAATCTGAGTTACATAATTTCTATGCTTAAATCCTTGTGCTTCTTTTCAGCTTCAGGCATTATCAAACTGCTCCCCTGTCTCTGTCAGATGGTCCCCTTCACTGATCTCCTTTCTACAGTGATTTGTCATCTTATGGTATTAGCTTTTAGACATTGGACAGCTAGTCTTAAGTAGGCACACTTAGTGCATTTTCCCCACTCTGTTTTTCTCAGCTGCCTCTTCCACGATAGCATCCAATTCAGCAAGAAAAGAAAGGAAGGATGTTCTAAAGAAAAGTTCAAAGACGGGCAGTAAAAAGGGATAATAATTCCTTCCTTTCTCGAAAGAAGATTAATATATATCCTGCTGCATTCCTAAAGTTTTCCATCAGCAGAGCAATCCAGGGAAAAGAGCTGCTACCTTGATTTGGAAAGTCTGAAGACAACCAGGGACAGCATATTTATTCCAGGTTGGCATTATTTTTACTGATTGGGTACTGTTTTCTGGGTTTTTTGGATATTTTCCTACTGTTGGCTGCTTAGTCAGAATTATATCTTGTTTACATCACAATTCATTGATGCAGTAACAGTTTTGTGTTTTAAAGGGATGAAGGGATTTTACATCAAAAGGCTCATTTAACTGATGGCAGCTTCTAACTAGAAACAAAACCATTTTAACAAACTCCGATAGCAAATCTGTTCACAGAGCACCAAAAAACTAGCTAAACTTTTCTCCAGAGACTATGAATTCCCCCGCCCCGCCCCAAATATTAGTATTGGAACTACTGTATGATGAATGAGAGAATCCCATCAGAGTTTTCTTTTTTGTTCCTTTGTTTTATATGAGTCCTGACCTCAGGATTTACACACTGAATTGCAATTGTTCTTTTACATCTTTCCATATTTAATATTTGCTTTAAGTAGAGAGATCATACCTGTGTGACACAGAGACGTTTTCAAAGAGATTTTGAGAATTTGTAAAAAAAAAAGAAAAAGGAGAGGAGAGGAAGAGAAGAGAAGAGAAGAGAAGAGAAAAGAGAAGAGAAGAAGAGAAGAGAAGAGAAGAGAAGAGA